ACCCTATCCATGCAGAAGCAAACTGGGTGTGGATGCTGAGTACTTGTCCTGACAAAACTGAGCACTGGTACCTGAATTGTTTTAATTTTGGGGTGTGGGGGAAAGGGGTTGCACATGCCCAATTCATTTTTAATATATACAAATGAAATCTTTTCAAGCTCTTATTGATAGAGGCCTAACTAGGAGCTAGGTCACTGCTGCTGACTGGCGTGGCAATGCAGCAGGACTGCAGAGGTTCAGTATGCTCTCGTCATCCCTCTCCAAGGGCTAGTATGGAAGAGGGAACAAGGTCATAGCTCCACTTCCTCTTTATTCCTGTTAAGAGCCCTTTTTGCACATATGCCTGGGGAGATGTGGGGGGGCAGCAAGCAACTTTAGCCGGTCCTGATTTTGACCATATGGAGGATGGTGAGAGGGCACAGGACAGAAAGTTTCGGGTTTAACTTGCTGGTAGACGTTGCATTTTACAATATGCTGGATTCTGCAAATGCTTAGATGTGTTTGCAGACTCAGACCTTGTCCTTACACTCTGTCACCCATGTTACCATCTCAGCATTTTCCCTTGAAGTTTTACAGTGCTTTTCTGATGACTTAAAGGAATAGTAGGAGACTCCTCCTGCTGGTAATTCAGGACTCATTCCTGCCAACTCTCCATCAGCAAAACCCTCTTGACTTTGATAGGTGCCCCCACACAAGAAGGACAAGAACATTGAGTAAAAAAGCATGATTTTAGATAATGTCTCACTCACCTTTCAATGGTTGTTTTCACCAAATTATTAAAAATATACTATTGGTTTTTTTAGTTGAAGAGCAAAAAGCCTAGTATTAATAAGTCTAGTTTTCATTTTTGATAATTATATGTGCTCTAGAGCTTTATATAAAAACAAAGAGGCTTTACTAAAACTCTGTAGCCATTATTGTATATTGGATTGTAGTCTGTATCCATTTTCTTCATGGATGTTTGGACTCGATCACCTTCCCACGGGGAAGCCAAGGAGAAGGAGTGAAGCAAGGTTCCTCTTAAATTGATTTCCTCCGGTCTCCAGATCATTCCATCCCCAGGCAGTAGTGGCAAATATTATAAGAGCAGACCACAAACCCTCTGTTGAGATGGTGGATCTCTCAGTAAAAACAGGGAAAAAGAGGCAAACCATGCTCAGAAGGATTCTCGGTCCAAGTACACAGAAGGTAGAGGACATGCATACAGTACACCGGTAAGAGATCTAGTGTGCGGACTGCCTCCTAGGGCTAGGAAAAGTGATAGTGACTCCAGGCCCACAAATGATCAATTCTTTTGAATAGAGTCTGGATCTCAAGGAAACTAGTGGAAGCTCAGGGGTATCCTCATGGAAGTTTGCACCTTTATGGGGGCATGAAACCTCCCTTATCCAAGTTCCCAGGCAGCAGAAACTGTCAGATCACGGGTCCAGGGAATACCTTGCCCTTGGTTGCCCCTGGAAAATCCCATCCTCCTTCCTCCTGAAAGGTTCTCCTCCTTGTGGAAGAAGCCATGCAGCTGTTAAATACAGCCTCAAATCCCACTCCTTCTCTGAGAGCATCTCCCATGATCTGAAGCCATAGGAGTGCAGAATGCTATTAGGGGAAAAAAAATTTCAACTCTACCACCTCTCTGGGTTTTGTTATTTCAGGGTTTGTGCACAACTTTTTAATTACAGAGATATTCAGAGAAGCTGGGTCAGAGAACTACTGGCATTTTCTCATATCCAGGCATCGTCATGAATCGGAGGGAAGAGAGGAAGTGTCACGAAGCTGTGTCAAATTGAGCTCACATGTTCTGGCTCTTACTGCCCTCTCCACGGCTCAAATGCAAAAGCTTTGATGTCGAGCACAATTCAACTGGAGTCTCAGCCTCTATCCTCCTCCTAGTCACAGGCTATGTATACACATGATTTACGTGATTTTGCACCAGTTTAAATTAAAAGCATGTTTTAAAGCCATGCAGCTAAACCAGTGCTTGTCCTGTATTTTGACCCTACTATTTCAGTTTAAGAGTAGCTTATTTTGTTAAACTAAATTGCTCTGGAGTTGTAGCTACCATCTGCCACACAAAACAGTGAGGAAAATCCTCACAGAAGTCCTGTATCTTGCAACTGAAATAAGCACCTCTAAGACCAAAAAAAATGTGTCTGCATACAAACTTGTGCAGCTCAAATATGGCAGCAATGCTCCTGGGCTGAGGGTTTCTACACCTAATAAACAGCAAATATTAATGGCTAAGCTATAAATCCCTCATGAGGCATGCTCTCCCTCATGGCAGAGATGCTGATGTACCCATTATTACAGCAGAGCCCAGCAGCACTTCTCAGTGGTAATTATAGCTTCTTCAAGAGGGAAAGGGCATTCCTCAGTCTGCAGAGAAAAGCAGTGAAGACTAAAATGGAAATGAAGTGCAATGCAGCTACAGCAGAGCTCCAGCCAACCGGCGGGCCAAGAGATGGCTGAGTGAATACTCAGGGACTATCAGCCCCTCACTTTGCTCCTGCAGCAAGAAACAGATACGATGGGCTGGGACTCTTCTCTCCTTTGTATTTGTACAGCATAATAATGCTATTTTTATATACTGTTGCCATCATTAAATCTCAAAGCGTTTTACAAAGGATATAGTCACCATGACACCCATTTTTATAGACAGAAAGAGCTGACTTGTAAGGAGGGTAGTAAAGCACTGGGACAGGCTACCCAGAGAGGTTGTTGATCTCCACCCTTAGAGGATTTTAAAACCCGGATAGACAAAGCCTCGACTTGGATGATCTAGTTGGGGACGGTCCTGCTTTGAACAGGGGGTTGGACTTGATGTGACCTCCTGAGGTCTCTTCCAGCTTTAATTTTCTATGACTGTATCCAGTGGACTGAGAGGAGAACCAGTGTCTCTATCCAGCGCTCTAATCATTGGGCAGCACTGCCAGCAATGAGACCCAAGTTCTTACTGGGCTTTCAGGCATTCTTCCAAATCAAATCAGAATGAATGGTAACAATTTCTGGTTTATCCGAGGCATTTTTAAAGCACGTTTCACCATCTTACCTAAATGCCAAATGGTTCAGACATACCAACAGGCTTCTGAAATCAGGTGATGCTAATGTGAACATGTGTCAAGGGCCACTAGCAGAAATGTTTTGTGAAACGCTTGATCCTGAAAAAAACAAGTGGTTATTTCATTCCTTCAGAGGCATAAATGAGACACAGTAAGGCTCATTCAGTTCAATGTCTTGCTCCTAGGATACAATCAACCAATTTAAATTTGTCATAAGGATTCAGTGTTTCTGGTTCATAACTCGCTGGTTGTGAGTGGTGCCACTCGGTATCCTGGGGCATTGTGCACGTAGCAATTCTGGCAGAAACCAGACTTGTCCCTTTGAAGCTAGGCTGGGATTGTTTTATTACAGCCTCTTTTAGGTCTTACAAAAAGTTGTTGCTTTGCAGTTTTTCATCAATAGTTCTTAAGGCTGCTTCTGCTACTAGCCTACAACTCCACGCTTGCAGGTCCCCAGCATCAGCTTCTTTGCAAGTGAGTGAGGAAAGCTGAATGAAATCCTGAATGTTTTGAACCACCAAATGAAACAGTAAACCCCTTCTCATCCTCAGCACTGTTGTTCCCTGTCCCACCACAGACCTTCTTCAGGAGATGATTTGAAAAAAAACCCAAACCTGCTGCCCTCAAAGGTACTAAAAGCATCCTTTCTGATAAGGCTCACGCTTCCGGACAGCAGTTCTGTACTCCAAACCATCACCATTCCCCATGCCCTTTGACTAAGACTACCTCTGATGCACATGCCTTGCAATCTAACACACCCAGGTATCACTGCCATCTGAAGAAGTTGAACTCTCCGTGATGTGCAGATGGAGTAACTTCTCTGTTCACTGGATTCAAGAGTACTCTTAGTACAGTACATGCAAAGAGGGTTCAGATTTTTGCTCCATTGGCCATTTTTGAAGCAGTCTGAAGCTCTGCACATATGTTTAGTCATGGCTATACAGGGCAATGCATAGGGGGTGCACGTGGGTGCACATGCACCCCCCAAGCGTGGTGATGCACCCCCTACAAAAAGGCGGGCGGTCGCCGCTCACCACCCCACTGCCAACACCACCGGTGGCATCTGTAGGCAGTCTGCAATCCCTGCTGGCTGCCACTGATGCCGCCGGTGGTGTCTGCGGGTGGTCAGCAACCCCTGGTCGGTGCTTGCCACCCTCCCCTGCACCGTCAACAGTGCCGGTGGTGTCTGCGGGAGCTCCCCGCTTACCACCGCCGAACTCCTGCCGCCACTGTGCCCCACCAGCCACAGGGGCCACATGTTGTTCATGTGGCTATAGACCGTTTTCTGTGGCCAGATCCAGCGAAAATTTTCACTTCTGTCCGCGCCTTTTAAATTTAATTATTAAGATGGGAACCAGACGTCTATTTGCAGAAAGACTTTACAGGCCCAAATAATAGAAAATAGGGCTGAAAGGGATCCTGAGAGGCCATCTATTCTATTCCCTGCTCCAAGGCAGGATCGGCTGTACCTACATTTCTGATGCAAGTTTGCTTAACCTGTTCAGTAAAACCTCTATTGACTGAGACTCCACAGCCTCTCTAGATAACCCATCCCGAGACTTAACTATCTTTACACTGGGGAAAGGTCCTCCTAATGTTTAACCTAAAATCTCCTTTGCTGCAATTTAAACCCAACCCTTCTTGCCCTATTCCCAGGGGACATGAAGATTAGGATCTTCCTCTTTCCAGTAACCTTTTACATATTTTAAAACTTATGCTTCCCTTCAGCCTTTTCTTTTCTAGACTAAACAAACTCATTTCTTTCCTCATAGGTCATGTTTTCTTAATCTCTGATCATTTCTGTTATTCCCTTCTGGACTTTTTCCAATTAGTCCGCTTCTTTCTGGAAGCGTAGTGTTCAGAACAGGAGTCTTACCAGTGTTGAGAAGAGGGGAAACATTACCACACACATCATATATATGACACTGTTTATACATCCCAGTTAAGTGGTTTATGATCCATTGTAGCCTCTGGATCGGTTTTCAACAGAATTCTGCCTAACTAGCAGATCCTGTTTATCATCATCAGGTAAACACAGTGTTTTGTACTTGTCCTCATTGAATGTCAAGCTATTTATTTCAGACCATTTCCCCAATTTGTCAAGATCATTTTTTAAATTTAATTTTGCTGCCCAAAGTGCTTCCAACCCCTCCCGGCACAGCTTCATCCACGGATGTAATAAGTGCAATCAGTATCCCAGACTCAGAACAGACCCCTATTAAACTCTACTCAATACATCCTTCCAGTCTGAGAGTAAGCCATTATCAGTGATCATCACTATTCTTGTGAGTAAAGTTTTCTAACTGGTTCCACTACCACCTTCTAGTAAATTCATCTAGACCACATTTCCCCAATTTGCAGGATATCCCAACAGAACCCCTACTGCACTGTGTACTATACAATTATTTAAGCACATTCAGAAATGAGTGGAAAACATTGCCAGATCAGAGCAGGAGCATTTCACGCCTTCTTTATGCAAATTAAATATCTGTACAAGGTGAAAGGAAAAGGAGAATCAAACTATATCACTTTATAGCCATCATAAACGTAGGCTTAAGATAAAAGAAAATCTCTACTTCACAATACCTAAAGCATCATCCAAGTCAACCACTGAACACATTTGGCTAGTTCTCAAATGGGATAGATTTATCATTAATCAATGGCTATAGGTAAAGTAAAATGAGATGGTACATCAGGCGGAGAGGTACCCATATCTCAAAGGGCCAATGTCCCAGTTGGCAAAAGCCATGTGTGTGCCAGAGACTGGGAAAACCAGACTGAACATTGCAAGGGATGCTCTCCCTGTGCAAGAAGGAATATCATCTTCAGATAGCATCCGATTCCAGACTGCCTTTGGTTCAGTTCACTTTCTGCATATGTCACTCCCTCCCCTCTGGGTAAGGGCCAGACCCAATCCCAGACACCATCTTTGCCACTCAGACTGTGGGATACAACCATCCTGCAGGCCCTACAGAGACATCAGGCCTGCTCAAGGGCCCCCCTTTGATAGAGACAGGGACAAAAGGGCTTTCCATTATTTTCTTGTTATAGTTCTTTTGAATTCAATGCTGTGTTTGTTAGGGTGTATGCATTTCAGGGGACAGCCACAGACCCTACATGAGAGAGAGGAGTGGGGTGCATTGGGGGTAGAGGAGGGAGCTACTCTCAGTATGAAAAAAAGGAGTAAGACTGACAGGTGGCATGCAGGTGGAGGGGAGTGGAAAGTAGAAAGGTTTCATATACCAAAATGTGAATGGGAGCTAGGAAGCATGGTTGGGATGAGCTGAAGGGTTTGCTGTCTTGGGTAGTAGGTAGGGGAGTGGATGGGGTGAAGTTTTAAAGATCTGGAATACCTGTGATGGTTCCTTATCTGGTGAGTTGTTCATTTTTTAAGCTGCTCTGAGACCTTCTGAATCAATCTAAATAATAACAGCATATCAAATTGTCAAGAGATGGTAATATTTGGTCATAGGCCAAGAGCCAAAGCCTCCCAGTTGGACAGCAGCAATAAATCCTAATTTTGGCTACCACTGAACGTCATCCACATTTCAGTTGACCCTCCCTTTGCATGAGCAAATTGCACTGGCTTCCTATTTGCTTCTGTGTATTGTTGGCTCTAGTGAAAAACACTGATGTGTTTTGGGGCTTCTCTACTTTATTGATCACCACTCAGACTTAAGTACATCTGATGGCAGCCCACTGAATACATACTGAGGGACTAAAGACCGGTGTTTTTAGGATTTAAGTCTTTTTGAGAGGCAGCTCAACACAGACTGCTACAGCTTGGCTTTGAAAAAACAGTGCTAACACTCTTTCGACTGCAATGCTGCAGCTTGAAGTTCAGTAATGCAAAACATTTTCTTTTTTAGGTCCAAGATTTGTTCAACTCAAGGCTGCTTTGAAACTACATGTTATGGCCAGAACTGCCTATTTGGAGCAAGATTTACTTATCATGTGCCAAGAAGTGACAATGACAGGTGCAGAAGGACCTCACTAAACAATGGCAGCAGGACCAGAAGTTTGAAGTATCAGTAGCAATGCTATGTCTGCCTTGTTTAAACCAAGGGACTTCACCCCAAGGTAGCAATCAGATATAGGCCGAGGAGCTGACATGGTACAGAAGACTAGCCAAGCCTTCTTGATGACCTGCTTCTACTGTAGTAAGAAAAATGCTGACGGATCTGCAAAGAGTTAAGTAATGGCCAATATATGTAGAAGCAGGAGGCTCTGGTTTTGAAACTCTGCTCAACATATGTCTGAAAGATTTTTGGGACTGCACAAAACTGTAGTACAGAAAAAGATTGGCAAGGCAGATGTTCATTGTTTACTGACCTCTGATGAGATCTGCCCTCTCTCTTAACCATTCGAGATGTTCAATAGATACATTGGTGCTGATTTGTAAGCCATACACTGCCAAAAATCTGGTGTATTTCTACATCCCCGAGAGTTTGAAAACAAGTAGTACACGAGACGAGTGTGAAAACACACTTCCTTATGGCAGCTTTGTGAGCTGATCACTGGAAACAAAACTTCTTGTGAAGTAGCATGTTGAAAATCATGACAGGCTCATTGACAACAAGCAAAGCCCTCACAATCCAATCCTGGAAGAGGGTTGTGTAGCAGCTCAGGTGGCAAGCAATTGTTTATTAGCACTTTATTAAAGCATATCTCTCTCAATTTCTGCCTTCTGGGGATGTGCACGAGAGAAAGCAGATATTGTCACATACAGAAATAACATCAAAACAAGACTGGGGGAACTCCTGACTAATCAAAATTCACTGTCATCTTACATGGCTAAAATGGCAATATTTGCATCCTGGCTACATATAATGCACACTCCAATTTGGAAGAAGCCATCCTTTTGTTTTGTTCTCTTTTCATTTTCCATTTCTACATGCCTGAAAAACTGGGAGGTACAACATAGTGTGAAGTATCAGAGTAAGCTTCTGAGAGTGGGTCAGCATGCCAGCTCTCATGCTCATGGTCTCTACCATGAGGAAATCCCACGGATGCTGTCCAAAGTGGACTGAGCAGAACTTGATTAAAAGGTAAGCACTATGGCCATCTGTAAATCTCAATGACTGGAGTCATCTGATTATATCAGCAGGTTAGCTTTATTCAAAGAAAGCCTCTAGCATTTATAACTCGGGGGGAGGAGACTACCTTAAAAATGTAACCTGAGTGCAAGCAGAGCACTACAGTCATGACTGTGGCCGGGCATTGCCGTGGCATTCGCTCTCTCAACATCGCCCCAGCAGAGAACGCTGTTTGAGAGGAGGGGAGCGTAAAGAAAAGTAGCCCTCTTTGTTCATTAAAGCAGATGCATAACAGCTGCTTAGGGAAATACTTGCAGAAAAGGGCAGTTGTGCTCTGGTGTACTTACAGGCCCAGATTTCTTTAAACTGGCCTGGGGAATGATATAGCTACTTGTACTATATTATTTAGCAACAAGGAACATGGAATATGGAAAGGTGTCATCTGTAGTTCTCCAACAGATATGCAGGATAGACCCTAACACATGCCTCAAGCTGTTATTTTCAGGTGGCGTTAACCTACTGCCTATTGCCAGTTTTAGCTTCGTTCTAATGCCTTCAATACCAGACATCAATCCTATCAGATCCTATTTTGCAGGAGCCATTCCCCCGCTTCCTCATTCCTTGCATCTTTATGTAAATTTATGTAAATAAGCATTTTAAGCAACTTCCTTCCTGATCTACTTCTTAAGTTGAAAAAGACCCCCAAATTATGCCCATGCATGCTGGGGAAGGGGTCTTTCAAAGCATTATTTAGCAACCACAGGTCTTATGGGTCTGAAAGCATTTGCAAAAGGATTCCTGTCTTATCAGTTGCTGAGATGTTGAGAAAGGAAGGATCTTTGTCATTTAAACATGCCAGTGTATAGATCCCGTACTCCTTTCCATCTCCAGTTGTCATAGTCTATTCTTTCTTTCCCCTCACCTCATCCAAAGAGGCGCACCAGAGTTGCATGGCTTAGGGGGAGGATTTTCATCTCTCTGGTGCAAGTGTGTATGATGGGGGCAGGGGGAGAAGGACGTGTGGCTCTGGGAAGGTGAATTCACAGCTTAACCAGACTAGCATCAACAGACTTTTCTTTCCTCTCCTGTCAGAGCTGCCTGTGTTTCATGTTACCATGAAAGTATTATTGATCGCTGGGTACAGTATTTCTGCTTACAAAGCAGGGGAGGCCCCACACCCCAGCAGCATCCCCTAGAGAAGGCAAGAGGATAAGCCCACTGATTACTACATGTAAGCTGGTCCTTTAAGTTCCCATTTTGGGAGGGTGGAGGAAGAAGGGGGAAGGGGAATGGCTCCGGTAGCAGGCAGGCGTCAGGACTTGTTCTCCTATTTTGCTGCTTATGTTGCTTTGCAGAAGGAAGTTTCTCAGCAAAGCAGGGCACAACAGGTCTATTTTATTAGTAGTTACCCTTCAGGGGTGACTCCCAGGATCATTGCCCACAGCAGCCTCTCTCCCCCAGTCCCTTCTGTCTAGGGCAGGGGTGGGCAAAATGCGGCCCAGGGGCCAGATGCAGCCCACCAGGCTATTCTATCCAGCCCGCAAGGCCCCTAAAAAATTTAGAAAATTAATATTAATCTGCCCTGAGCTGCCTGTCATGTGGCCCTCGATGGCTTGCCGGAACTCAGTAAGTGGCCCTCCGCCCAAAATAATTGCCTGCCCCTGGTCTAGGGTACTTAGGGAATCATGGCTCTCAAGGTAACAAAACAATTGAAGGGTTGCATGCCTAGCATTGGGCCTTTCTAGTTAACTAGTCTTCAGCTCCTCCTAGCATTTCTCTTTCTATGGGGAAGGAAAAAAATTCAGGAACCAAACCCAGACTTACCTCTGGGTGCCAGCCCAGACACCCGACATGAAGTAGGTGGGTATCATTCCTTCCCATCCTTCATCAGAGCCCTAGGGATTTCCTGACCACTTCTCTCAGC